TCCCCGCTGGTCCCGCCGCACGCAGCTGGTAGCCTCAGTCGCCATCGCTCGGCCCACGACGCGCGGCCGGGCAGCTCCCCCCCCCGTTTCTCAGAGAGCGGCTGCTGGGGGGAGGGCGGGAGGGGGGGGTCACGGGCCCCAACGCGGCCATGAGGAGGAGGGGGAGGGGGAGGGGGGCCCCGGCCCTAAGCCAACCGACACGTCTCAGGGTCCGGTGGCCCAGGGTCAGCCAAACCCTGGGCCCGCAGGCCACTCCACGATCCGACGGCCCGGGGTCCGCCATCGCGTTTTCCACGACACCATAAGCAGGGGTAGGCCGACTCGCCCGAGGGCGGGCGGCATTCGGCATGAGGGGGAGGCGGGGAACCAGAAAGCGCCTCGCTACTAGGGCTCAGAGGGGCAGTGGACGACGACGAACAATTCCCTGCACTGTCACACTTGCATGGCGAGCGACGTACCAAGGACACAGGACGACAGGACGAGCGGAGCGCAGACCAGCGCGCACCCCCATGCAACGCGCACCCGTGCGCGCGCAACACGCACTTGCCATGCTCAGCAACTGCCCCTGGCCCGCGCGCGCGACAATGCAAGGCAACAAAGTGAGGCAGCGCAAGCAAGCTCCGAGGCCTCTTTTACCGTTCGCATCGCGCCCAGGCCTGGCCGTTCCCCCAAACGCAATGCAAAAGGCAATCTTTTTATGCAGGATGAATTAACGCTAGAGCCCTAGCCTGCAAGTCGGGCAAGCGCATGCAGATCTGCGTGAGCGCGCGCTGCTCAACGCATCTAGGCTTCGCGAGGCCGATTTATAAAAAAAGGGGACAGGAGCGGCGGGCGCTGGTAGGAAAAGGAAAGCACACGGCTGCACACGCAGGACGGGCACAAAAAGAAAGGAACTGCCACTCCCCTGCCCCGACGGGGGGCGCAGCTAGCGGCCCCCGCCGACGCCTGACAGGGCGTTCACCTACTGAAAGCCGGGCAGGCCCTCGACGCCCGCGAGGCGCTCCCGGGCCGACAAGCGCACGGCTGGCACGGGGGTGCCCACCTGCTGCACAGGTGGCGCCGCGGCGCGCAGCTCGGTCACAGGCCCTAGATACATCAGCAGCTCCTCGATATTCGCTTCCATGGCCCCCCGGCGGCCTTTGACCACCACGCGGCCCTGTCTTTTATTGACTAGTTGGATGCTCAATTTGGCCACGGGGGCGACTTTAAACGTGACTTCCAGCCCTGGCTGATGGAAGTCGCCCGTCACTACGGCAAAGGGAGGGGCCGGGCGCACTGCTGCGGCGGCTCGGCCGCGAGTGTCACCATGCACGATGTCGACCCCCATCGCACCGACAATGCGGTGGAGATCCTCTTGAGCCGTGCACGCGCTCACCAAAAACGCCGCTTCCATGCTGATACGGCCGTCCCTACTCTCTCCCACAGCGGCGCGCAGCTGGCGCTGCCAACCCCCCACTGCCGAATCAAGCTCTGCCTGCGTGCGCAGCGTGGCCGAGGCAAGCGGGTCAGCGATCGGAGCCCCGGGGGCCTGAGGCGCGCCATGCGGCGGCGCCACGCGGGCGGGGGCGCCAACAACGCGCAAATCGTCGCGCCCCGCCTGGAGGAGGGCCTGCTCAACAGCCTCCTCCTCCAGCCTCCTCTTGACCACCGCGCGCGCCCGGGGGTCAACGAACGCGGGCTGCGCGCGCAGCATGAACGAAGAAAGCGGGCCTGCGCCCGCAGCCAAGCCTGGGGCACGGGGCTCGGCTAGCGCCGGCGCCGCCGGGGCAGGCGCGCCAGCGCTGTGCAGACTGTCGCGCCCTGCCTGGAGGAGGGCCTGCTCCACAGACTCCGCCTCCAACCTCCTATTGAGCACCTCGCGTGTCTGAGAGTCAACGCGCGTGGACGCCGCTATCGACTGGCTGGTGGGCGGGCACGCGGGCGGGGCGCGGCCCTCCAGAACTGCCAGGCGATTCCGCAAGCTAGCAACCTCGGCTAAGTGCGCCGCGACCTCGTGGGGTTCCGTCACCTGGACTGCACCGGTGCTCCTCTGGAGCCACACCTTCTGGCCTGTTTCGCCCGCGTAACAATCCCACGCCGGCCTCTCGCGCTGGAGCTTGAACAAGGACTCCTTCAGGGACTGGAGCTCACTGGGGGGGGCCTCTGCCTGGGCAGCCTGAGCCGCGGCAGTCGGCAGCCCCTCCCCGCCGCGGTCGGGCTGCGCGCGCGGGGCCGCCTTGGCTGGCGCGGCCACGGGGGAGGCACGGGGCACGCCCGCGCCATCCGAGGGCGCTGCCTGCGACGCGGCTGGGTGGTCCCAACGGCTCTCCTTCGTGATCCTGTGAATGAAGTAGAGGTGGCCGTTGTATGGGTCGCGCCGGCTTTCCCAGCCCGCCGGAAGCGGCGGCGGGCTCAGGGTCGGCGGCCCTGGGGAGGCGGGGCGTGGGCTCCCTGAGGAGGTAGACGCAACCGGTGTCGGGGTGCACGGGGCTTGCGGCGGGTCCTCCTGTGGCGGAGGCGGCGGAGGCGGCGGTGGCGGCGGCGGCGACGCCGGTGATGCCCCCAGCCACTCCCCAGGCGGCGCGCTGGCGTGACGAGCGGCCTGCGGGGTGCCAGGCGACAAAGCGTGAGCCGGGGCCGCCGGCCGCGCCTTGCCCGTCACACCAGGGATGCTGAAGTTACCCGGGGGCGGGGACGTCGGGATGAGCTCCCCCAGCGCGACGGAGAGCCTGCACGGGCTGGGCGCGCCACCACCGCCAACCTCGCTCAGCGGCTCGCCGCTGGCCAGCGGGGGTAAGGAACTTGAACTGGAGGACCTGCGGCCGCGGCCCGAGGGGTACTGGGACTTGCTGGGCCTGGGCCTCGCGCGGCTGCGGTGGCGCCTCGGGGGCGAGCTGCTGCTGGTGCTGCCGCGCCGCCTCCGACTGCGACTACGGCACTCATCGCGCCCATGCTCGCTGCGGCGGCGTCTCTGGGGCGGCATGGCCGCGGCCAGCCACGTCTCTTGCAGGGCCGGGGCGCGCCGGGCGTCTACCTGGGACAGGGGCCCCTGCGCCGCAGACCCCAACTTGGACACGAAAAGCCCGCGGCCGCGGGAGCCTGGTATTGGAAAGGATCCGGCACTCCTCCCCGCGCGCGCCCAGAGACCGGCGGCCGGACAGCGGGCCAGGGCTCGGGGCAGCCCACCAAACCCGGACTCGAAGCCTGTCAAGCAGCCAGGGCCATGCAAGACTTTGCAAATTTACTCGTCCAGCCCCGGTTCTTGCACCCACCCCCTCCCGTGACAGCCAAGAGCTGCCCGACAGACGGCCGGCGATCGGGGACGACAAAAGGCGAGGTGCCCCACACCATGCAGCACGGCTCGGCACCACACTCCACGGCACAGAAACCAGCAACGCCCCCGGGTAGGAGAGCACAGCACGGCGACGGCCCGACACGGCACCGGAACACGGCGCAACCGAAGCAAAAAGCAAACGGCGCCAGGGGCACGGCACGACGCAGCACGGCACCGCAACAGCACAGCACGGCACCGGAGCAGGGGGCGGCGGCGGCGCGGAGCGAAGAGAAAAGAAGAGAGGACCGGAGCTTGGCACGCAACACCGCACACCCCACGAGGCAAATATATGTTGACGTAGAGACAATGGTCCAAGCAACGGGGATGGCACAGGTCAGTTACACTATCAGAGAAACGGAGGTTAACGGTGGACACCGACGGCGACGACGACGACGACGGCGACGACGACGACGACGACAACGACCGGAACCACCCGGGCCAACCTGAGCTGCCCGAGAGACGGCCGGCGATACACATGCTCGCAACATACAACAAAGACCCCATCATGCCACGAGCCTACGACCGCAAGATTGGCACTGCACGTCATGGGGAGGAACATGCTAATGTAGGCAGACGTGGGAAAGCAACTGTGACACATGAGGGCAACAAGCAAAGACAATGTTTCTCAGGACTCCCGCTGGTGGGCGCACAAAGGGTACAGCCGAAGCACTTTGGAAAACTCACAGCAGAAGCCTTGCATGTCATCCACGGTTTGGGTGTTGGTCATATGCGCCTCCAACGCTTCTGCCGCTGGCAGATCGCCACTCTGTCGAAACTCATTGACAAGAGAACCCAGTATCGCTCTGTAGGCGAGCCACGCCTTCCGCAACAGCGTAGAATAAAAGGTTCTGGCGCCCTCCGAGGAAGACGAGTCCAGTAGCTTCGTTGGGAAGCCAAAGTATTGGTTGAGAAATCTTCGTGCTCCTGGTCCAACAAGCATGTGGTAATTCCAGTCGCTCGTGAGGCGCTTGGATTTCAGGGGAAGTCTGCTGTAGCGGTGCCTGGTGTAGATCCTCCAGGCGTTTTTCTTACCAAAGAAGCCGAACGATGGAGCCGATGCATTGTGCAGCGACAACATCAGCTCAGCCTTTGAGCGCACACTATTGTCCTCATTTCGGAGGGGAAGGTGGTCTATGGATTCCGCCACGAAATAATCGTGCCTTGCTAAATGATCGAGGGCCTCTACCTTAGAAAGCGACTTCAACTCAGAGTGCCGCACTTTGCTATATACCGAGTGAACCGCGAACATCTGGCAGGGGTGCGACATTTTGGCCGCCACATGCCGGATGATGTCACGCGGTCCCTGGCCTCGAAGCTCCGACAAGTCATCCGAAACTATTTTCGCAAAAGCAAGCGTGCAGCAGACTGACAACACATATGCAAACGTCCATCTAAACTTTGCCGGCAACTTGTCCATAATTGTGTCTTGGACCCCCGAACAGGGGGCTGCAAATTCGTCTGAAAGGCTGGTAGCTCGAAGTATTTGGCCGTTGGTGTACCCACTATCCAAGAATGGCAAAGATTCGAGAGACAGGCGATGCCGATCCGGGAGATCGTAATCTGCCCTGTGCACGTGCTGTCCTCGAACCGCGAAGAGTTGAGCGAGCGCTCTCAGGATCTCCTGCCGCCCCTGTCTGGGAGGCTCGAAAGCGTAATACTCCTCATCCGCCTCGTCGTACCGCCAGGCCTCCGGCGCCGGCTCTGGCCGCGCCTCCGCCTCAGGGCAGTGGCGCTTAGGAGGCCGGCCTGGCAGCAAGGGCGCATCGTCACTGTCGCTGGGGGCGGCCATGGCACACCGAGCCGGCGCGCGCTGCCCTCTCTGCCCGCCAGCTGAAAAGGCTGCGGGAGGCGGACCCAACGCGGAGAGCCAAGCAACGGATCAGAGGGCGCAGAGGACGCTTGGGATGACGCACAGCACTCTCTGAAACAGCCCGGCAAGGCGAGGAAAACTCACAACCGTTCGGCCGCCCATCTTTGGAGGGGGGGCAGGAACCTAGAAGAGGACAGCCCCCCTAGGTTCTCCTCTTCTAGGTTTTGCCCTGGTTGCTTTATATAATGCCACTTACAAAGAGGGAGAGGGGGGAGGGCGGAGGAGCGCGAATGGAGGACGGCGCTCCCCACCAGGGCAAAGCCCTGGTTGACAGCCCCCCCCTTCTGACCTGCAGAAAGGCATGCAGGCGAGTCGCCACCGCCGCCGCCGCCGCCGCCGCCGCCGCCGCCGCCGCAGCCGCCGACGACGACGACGACGACGACGACGACGACGACGACGACGACGACGACGACGACGACGACGACGACGACGACGACGACGACGACGACGACGACGACGACGGTCCACCCCACCCGCCCACGGAAGCCCCAAGGCCAACGGGGACGAGCAGCGGCCGGCCCAAGGACCCAGGAACCCCGGGACCGCGGGCACCCAAGCAAAGCGACGGCCCCGGGGCCCACCCCAAGGAGACAAAACCAGAAAAAAACAAAGCAGACCCGGGGGGCACGACCTCACGGGGTCATGTCTTCCAGGGCCATGCCGTACACCGACGCCGTGGGGGTCAGGTAGGGCGTCAGAAATGACGTGCACATCTGAAGTGAAGTAGAACCCATCGAAGAGGGGGGGGGGAGACGGAGAGGCGGCCTTTCATGCTCCCACGACCGATCCCGACCACCGACACACCATCAGGAAGAGGTGGCAGCAAGATGTGCTGATTACCACTCCAGGGCGCCTCACCCTCACCTCCCCCATGCCTCCACAGACGCTGCCATACCCATTCCCCCATTACGCTGCGCATGACATGCTTGGCTGCACTGCGGTAGCCACAACGGCCTTGCAGGACCACGGCATATGTTATTACCAGAGCGCTAGTGAAGTATCGGGAACGTCAATAGCGAAAGAGCGCCCCCCCAACAGAAGGCCAGGCACACAGCAGAGAAGACAACACAAGAGGCGATACAGGGCGGTCATGGACGACGCTGGCCCCCATGACTCAAAAGAGCCTCGACGGCCAGCCCCGCCCCAGAACCACCCGCACTTTTGCAAAAGCAGACAAGCACAAACGCAAGGGCGAGCGAGACTGCTCCTGCTACCCAGCACTCACTGCTCTACCCAATGCATGGAGGCCCAAGGGAAAAGGGGGGACAGGGGAGGGGAAAGGGGAGGGGCAGGCAAGGACGGGCGAGGGCAGGAGGGAGGGGAAGGGCCCAGAGCGGAGAAGAAGGGACAAGGAGGAGGGGAGGAGGGGGGCACACTGGACTCTCATTCTCCCTTACGGCGACACGCTGGCTCGTGAACCCTGGATGCTACGAAGTGCAGTTGCGTGGACTCTCACCGGACAGAGGTATAAGGTGGGTAGACAAAGCATGTCGAAGTAACAACGCGCGCTTGCGGACACAGGGCATAGCAAAACAGCTCGCTTGCTTGCATAGCGACAGCACCACACACGACAACCCACATGAGCGTACTTGCGCGCCTGCTTGCTTGCGACGCCGGGCCGAGACAAAAAGGGGCCAAGCTGAAAACAGCAACAAGTGCTCCCGACTTCCATAAACTACCCCTTGCTACACAACCGCATTGACACACAAATGGCAGCCTGCAGATCGCCCAATCACACATTACAAGGCAAGGCACACCGGAGGGCTTTGCAACCCCGCCCAAAGCCAGAGAGCATGCAAGGAAGGCCACGGACAACGCTGGTCCCCCGCGGCTCGAGAGAGCCTCGGCGGCCAGCCTTCCCCGACAAAGCCAAAGATGGCAACATATGAGAGCCAGAGCCACGTAAGCTGAACCCCTTCCCCAGACAGCCGCTCGCCGGGCGCGCTGCTGGACAACGGGCCAACCAGGAGGCAGCCAGAGCAGACAAGAAAAGCGGGAGCGGCGCGAGCGATGGCGGCACTGGCGGCGTTGGCCGCACATGGCCGGCGCGCCCCGCCCGCCCCGCCGGGACGCCCAGGGGCGCCCCACGACCGCGCCCCGCGCCCAGATGCGATCCTGCAGCCTTGAGCCTTGAGCCAAAATGGCTTGAGCCAAAATGGCTTGAGCCAAAATGGCTTGAGCCAAAATGACTCGGAAGGAGCTCCAACGCCTGAATGAACGCTCGAAGCTCGGCCCTAGGCACCGTCTGTCTGCGTCCAGACAGCGGCAAAGAAGCTCCAAAAATCGGGATCAAATTAGCGGGGCTGCAGGGGCTCTGATCGAGCGCAACGATCGCGGAGCCACAACGCCTACGCCTGGGATCACTGATGTACAGGCCTCCTGAGCCGCCCCCAAAGATCTGAAGGTGGCTGTCAGGGGCCCTAAGGAGCTCATTATGATCACCGAACATGTAAAAGCCCTTCTCCAAGACGCCCTTTTCATCGAAAGGGGGCTTCGTGAGGGTGCTCGCGGAGGCCTCTCGGAGCCAGTAGGAGGGTTCAGCCTCGCGGGAAGCCGCAGCCCGAGGGATGAGGCTCTGGGATCTCTCGAAAGCTTCGTGGCCTTGATTTTTCTCGCAACCCCAAGCACGGTGGCATGCCGTCTCGGGCTCTTTCCCACAACGCCTGCACACTCTCGAACAAGAATAGCCAGCCGCGAAATGGCGTTCTCTGGGCCACTGGCCCCCCGCGGCCACCGTGAGAGTGGCAGCCCACAGGTCGGTCTCTGCCTGCTGTTCAAAACGATGCAACTCCCGAGTGACGCCAGAGAAGTCCGCTCCGTGGTGCAGGGCGCTTGGGTCCACGCGGTTAGCTGCCAAAGCCCACAGCTGTGCCTTCCGATCATGGATGAAGTCGTCCATTAACTCCATGGCGTCGGCAGCCTTGAGGTCCTCGGATCCATACGGTGGGAAGGTCCACGTGTCCGAGCCGTTGCCAGCTGGTCTCTCCCAGGCCTCAGGAGAGTGAGGTCTCCACCTCGTCCGATAACTGCTCCTATTGGCCCTCGAACACGGTTCCATGAGGCGTTCTGGTTGTGGAGACCTTCTGCTTGATGACGGGCCAGGCTAGACGAATGGCCAGGTGGAGCTCGGGATGGCTGAACCAAGTCTCAAAGCAGGTCATGATCAAACTGACTGGGAGCTGTATGGCGGGGTCCCGCTCCTGGAGGGTGCATGCCAACGTCGTCGTGAGGCAGCGGCCCTTCTTGGCCCCAGCAATGGCTCTGCTGGCCTGCCGTCTCAGGGCCAGCACAAGGGATGGAGGTACGCCCGCCGCCTGATGACCGTACGCAGCCTGCGGCAGAGCACCAGTCGACCATAGCCCCGATGCCTCAGTGTGGACCTTCGTGCCAAGCTGCCGTCAGCGAAGGATGCGACCATACCGTCGGCGGGCATTGCCTCTGCGGGCGGTCGTTTTCTTGGCAGATCTGCGCCTGCCTGCGGTGGTGTCGAGGCCACGGTCGGTGGCCTGACTCGCGTGTGAAATGGAAAGGCCATGGCCCGATAACGCCCTGGCGATGCGCTCCCCCACTGCCATGCTGGAGGCAATGATCATGGACTTGCCGGACAGTACCAGGCGGTACTGGCGAAATTGTTCAGCAAGCTCAAGGCTTACCTGGATAGTTCCTTGGCTCACTACTTGTTCTGAGCTGTCCACAACTCTGGCTGAGGCGTCGTCCACGCAGGTGCGCAGCACGGGGATGGGCCTGATCTTGTGCACGTGCTCCACTATCGGATGGAGAAACAGCTTGGCTAAGTTAACGCCTCGCGGACGGCCAGCCACTAGAGATCTCGTGGCCATGATGCGTGGGCTGATCCATAAATTCGCCGTGAGATGTCGAGGGGCCAGGCACATTTGCACTTCCATGGGCGTCACCATCATGGGGTAAGTCGTCTGCTCAGCAAACTGTAGGAGCAAAACCAAAGAAACGCTGTCGTAGAACTTAGTGAGGTCGAGTAGCGGGCAGGCCACGTGCTTGCCGTTGGCGATCGCCGCCTCGTCCAGGAGGAACCTGATCATCGCTGCTCGGAGGGCCGAGGGCCCAGCCAAGGCTGCGCCCCAAGGCGCCTCCAGACCCGACGACCACCTGTTGGCTGGCGAAGCGCGGGCCTGCGACCATATCTTGCCGAGGGTTGGGAGAAGGCCCTGCACCCTGTCACCCCCTTGCGGCTTGGGGGCGACAGCACCGAGAGTGGCATGTATCTGTTCTGGCCATGCTCCTGCCTCTTCGCAACGGTAGAGCGGTTGGAGGCAAGCCTGCCTGCCTGCTCGAGGGAGCCTGGCCACAGCATCCACCGTGAAGTTGTCAATACCCGTGGCCTTCTTGGCGGAGGGGCGGAGGAGGAAGGAGGGAGGAGGGAGGAGGGAGGAGGAGGACGGAGGAGGGAGGAGGAGGGCGGAGGAGGAGGGCGGAGGAGGAGGAGGAGGGAGGAGGAGGAGGAGTAGGAGGAGGAGGAGGAGGAGGAGGAGGAGGAGGAGGAGGAGGAGGGGGAGGGGGAGGAGGCGGAGGAGGAGGAGGAGGAGGAGGAGGAGGAGGAGGAGGAGGAGGAGGAGGAGGAGGAGGAGGAGGAGGAGGAGGAGGAGGAGGAGGACAAGCGCCGCAAATACAACGGAGTCGCTGGTTTCCAACCCCTCGGCTTCGAAGTGTCGGGAGCCATGGGCGAGTCCACCCGGAAATGGCTCGCGCAGCAAGTGCCTGAGGGCCCTGGGCGACTGGAGACTCTCAGCACTCTCCACCGGTCCATCGCCACCTGCGTGGTCCGGGAGGTGGCGCGCACACTCATCAGCGCTGCCTGAGATGGTCGTCGGGCCAGCCAGCGCGCCTAACGCAGGGGTCTGGTGGCTCACACCCCTGGGCCTGGAGCCGGCGGCCTCGCACGA